TTAGTTATGGCCGAAACAAGAATCAGCCGAAGTCAAAACCTACAGGTTACGGACGTTCGGAAAGGTCAGATGTCCGGGGCGTCGGACGTCCGGAAAGGTCGGAAATCTGTAAATTCGGTTCGGGTTAGGGGTTCCGGTCGTCCGGAAAAGGTCGGACGTCCGGTCGTTCCTGGGGCTTCGGACGTCCGTAAAAGTCCGGTCGTCCGGTGGGTCGGGGTCAACGCGAAATGCGAGTTCGGGGACGCGATTTTGGGCGAAAAATGGAGATTTCGAGGTCAAAATTCGCGGAATTTCGTGGATGGAAGATGGGGAAACTTGGGGAGATGCTAGATCCACTTGAAACCAAGCAAATCCATGGATCAAAATCAACAAAACATCATCAAAACCAACAAATCACAAAAAAATTTGGGGCTATTTTTGGTGGGGATTTTCGGATTTAGGCAAAGAACACACAAAATTAAGCTAGAAAAAGAGGGGTAGAGGCTCCAAAAACATGATCAACGTGGCTCATGGTACCAAGATGATGTAGGGCAGAACCCTAGATGGACGATCTTTCACGTTTGGAGTGGATCCTATGGGGAGACACGAAGAACAAGCGGAAGAACACGAGGAAATCACGGGGAGGAACGAGGTAAAACACTCAACCAACAAGAAATCGGTCACACAAGTGCTAGATCAAAGAACACAAAGAGATACACGAGATCCAAAGTCAACAAAGGTAAGGATACAAAGGAACCGTTCTTCTCCGTGAGGAGAGGAGGTCTTGAATCCACAAGGGGATCTTCCCACAAGGGGGTCTTGAATTCGATAGGATCTTCTCCGAAGAGGCCGTGGTCTCTCACGAGGAGGAGATCCGATGGATGAGCGAAGCTCTATCTCTAACTTGAGCTAAATCAACGCTAAACCTAATTAGGAGGAGGTGGAGGAGTATATATAGTCTAGGGCCACGAAGGGGTAAGTGAAGGGGTACATGGGCTGCGGCCCAACACACTGTGCGCAGACAGGCGTCGGACGTCCGGGGGGTTTCGGTCGTCTGGAGGCTCGGGAAGGTCCGGACGTCCGGTGCTCTTCGGACTTCCGTAGATTCGGCTCGGGTGCGCTTCGGTCGGACGTCCGGAGGGGGCCGGTCGTCCGGAGGCTCGCGGGGTCCCGGACGTCCGGAGTTCTTCGGATGTCCGCAGATTTGGTTCGGTGGTCGCTGGCACGGTCATCCGGAGGGGGCCGGTCGTCCGGAGCCTGGGAGTCGTCGGACGTCCGGTCCTGGTCGGACGTCCGGCCGCTGTAGCTTCGGGCAGCTTCTTCTCTTGGTCCTTGTACTTGGTGTCCTCGCCGTCTTGTCCATGGTCTTCCTCCTTGTTCCTGGTCATGCATAGCACATATATATGAGGTAGTAACCATGTCTCACATGTGGGAAGTGAAGGTTCGGAGAGGAGCGAGTTCACCTTGTGTCCAATGGCGTATGTTTGAGGTCTCGTCATATGTCCACTTGGGGTTTGGGGAGTAGTCGGAGTGTACATGGGGATGAACGTGGGATGCTCCGCACTGATAGTGTACCTGCTGAATTCTACCAGCACTGCTGGGATGTTGTTTGCATGGATCTCCTTAGGCTTTTTGAGTGGTTTCATGAGGGCAGACTAGATGTGCAATGCTTGAATTATGGCATTATCACCCTTTTGCCCAAATCCTCGGAGGCCAATAGGATTCAACAGTACAGACCTATTTGCTTGTTGCGATGCCCTTATAAGTTGATCACCAAGGTCATGGATAGGAGAGCGAGTGTGTATGCCCCCAAACTATTTAGTATACGGCAGAATGCCTTCATAAAAGGGAGGGACATTATGGACGGGATCCTATCGCTTCATGAAGTCATTCATTATACTCATATAAAAAAAAGGACGGGGATTGTCCTTAAACTTGATTTCGAAAAAGCCTAGGACAAGGTTAATTGGGATTTCCTTCTTGATTGTCATAGTAAGATAGGCTTTAATGCTAAGTGGTGTGGGTGGGTGTCACAGATCCTTCGTGATGGCACGGTTAGTGTTAAGATCAATGATGAGCTTGGGCCCTATATTCAAAGTGCCAAAGGGGTGCGTCAGGGTGACCCTCATTCCCCTTTTTTGTTCAATATAGCCGCTGAGTGTCTGACTAAGATGGTTCTGGCTGCTCAAAAAAATAAGTTGTTCGAGGGGCTTGCGTTCGATCTTATTGAGGGGGGAGTGGGGATATTGCAATATGCAGATGATACAGCTATTTGCTTCTCCCATGATGTGGACAAGGCAGTAAATGTGAAGCTGCTGCTCTATTTGTTTGAGTTGATGTCTGGGCTTAAAATTAATTTTGATAAAAGTGAGGTTTTTTCGGTCGGTGGGGATAATGATATTGATCAATTTTATGCTGGGATGTTTGGGTGCCAGATTGGCAAGTTTCCTATGAGATATTTGGGGGTCCCAGTGACGTATGCCATGCTTAAAACTGTGGACTGGGACTTCCTAGATGCTAAGCTCCTCAAAAGATTGGCTGCCTGGATTAGTTATGTTGCTTCGTCTGGTGCTAGATTAACCTTGGTTAACTCCAGCCTAGATGGGATTCCTTCTTACTTCATGTCTATGTTCCTTCTTAACAAATCGTTTATTGAGAAGATGAATAAACATCGTATGCGCTTCTTTTGGAGGAGGAAAAAAGACAAACGGGCTTATCACTGGGTTAAGTGGTCCAGAGTTTGTCGTTCGAATAATAAAGGGGGATTGGGTATTAAGGATCTGCATAAACAGAATATTAGCCTCCTAGTTAAATGGTGGTGGAAGTTGGAGTCAGGTGATGGGCTGTGGCAAAAGATCGTGCGGGCTCGGTACTTTAAGCGCAATACGGTGGCTAATGTACATATCAGATTTAATGACTCCCCCTGTTGGAAAGCTATTATGAAGGTTAAAGAGGTGTATATGGAGGGTAGGGGGATCCGCATTAATATGGGTGACCTGGCTAGGGTCTGGCACGGCCCTTAGCTATCTGAGAATCCTTTGAAAGTTTGTTACCCTGCTCTATATGATATTTGTCAAGAGCAAGAATGCACCTTAGCGATTTTTGCTGCTAATAACTTTGGGATGGGATTCTGGCGTAATCTCTTTGCTGAGTTATCCGATAAGTGGGCTTGTGTGGTGGATGGGGCTAAAAAGCTAACTTTGAATGATGCACCTGATCAAGTGGTTTGGAAGTTTAATAGCAAAGGAGAATTTACGACAAAATCTGTTTACGAGTGGTTGGAAAAAGTTTATCAGGACCTGATTATAAGTGGATCTGGAAAGCTAAGATCCCTCTGAAGATCAAAATCTTCCTTTGGCAACTCTTCCAAAATGCTATCCCCGCCAGGGATAACCTGCGTAAAAGAAAATGGCCAGGAAACTCAATTTGTTCGTTTTGCCGTGATATTGAAACTGCTGATCACCTTTTCTTTGGGTGTGTGTTTGCCCGTTCTGTTTGGGGAGTGATCGGGGCTGCTTTGGGAGCATCCTGTACTCCTAAAACTATTTGGCAGAGCTGGGCATGGCTCTATAAATATCTTCCTGGGGGCAAAAAGCATTACATGTCTATGGTTGCTGCTATTTGTTGGGGTATATGGTGCACCCGTAACAAGGCAACCTTTGATAACTGTATCATTCACTCTCCTTTGGAGGCTGTTTTCACTGCGTGTTCCTTTTTGATGTATTGGTCAGGTCTTCTGAAAGGGATTGATAAGGGAAGAGTCCAAGCTGGAGTGCAGAAGATGGTGCGCGTGGCTGCGTCTTTGGCGGACCGTTCTACTCCCAGGGGAAGGCTCATGCTGGGGAATGGCGCGGGAGCTTGAAGCTGTTCTGGACAGTAGTCTGTGATGTCTTTGATCTCACTGGGGTTTGATGCCCGCTGAGATGTTCTGTGGCTTCTTTTGGTGGTGGTGTCCGGTACTTTAGTCCTGATACGCGTAGTTTTCGCTGTGCTGTTCGTTTCGGGGTTGGGATGGTTGGTGTCAACGGGTTTTTGCCCCGTGGCAGATGACTCGTTTTAGAGTCATTTGTTGCAGGTTTCCTGTTGGTGCCCCAACTCGCTCTTCCCTTTCGGTCTTCTTTTGCTTATTCGGTCTCGGGTAGTTCAGTGTGGTGTGGATTTGGAAAACAACTGAGACTGTAATATTTCCGTTAAGCAATTAATGGAAAGGGGTGTGAGCCCGGTTGAAAAAAAAAAGAAACAGAAGGAATATTATTGAACCAACGATCGGTCCGATTTGCCCTAGAAGCCCGATGAATGAACAACACACAAAATATATACGTGTGGCGGCCATAGCATTTGCCAAAACAGTGCTCTTCTGATCACGTCACGCAGACCCTAACCTAAAACAGCATTGTTGTTGGCAGCAACGCAGACAGGTCGCCTTCAAAGAAAAAAAAAAGAAAAAAAACACAAGCGCAGACAGATCCCTTGTCTCCACACTCTACCTAGCTAACTACTGTAACACCATTTCCAATCTTCTAGACGCGGGTAAACCAGGCAGCAGCGGGCTTCTATTTTTAGGGCGGCCAAGTAAAACCTCACCTACCAGTGCGGCATCTTGACTCACACGGAGACAGAGCCAACCCCCGCCCCCTCCGGATTTGCCCAACGTCCCACCACTTTCCCGGCATTTTTTTACCGGCCACCGAACCGAACCCGGAGAGGAGAGGAGACCGGGCGCCGCCCCGCCGCGGCCCCTCCCCATCCCCGCGTCCGCCAGGAACTGTTCATTCACCCGCCCCGCTACTTACCGCGTCGCGCGGCGCATCGTCATCCCCTTCCTCCCTCCCTCCCTCGCTTCCTTATAAGCCGCTCGCCCGGCCTCCTCCCCCTCCCCCTCTCGCCCCCGCCGCCATCCCTTCCTTATAGAGACAGCGTGTAGGCGCCGGGCGAGCAGGCCACCACCGCAACCCTAGCCAGCCCAACTACCGCCGCCGGCTGGAGAGGACTAGCTGCTGCTGCTCGAGAGAGAGAGAGAGATGTCATCGGGACGGTACATGGCCTACTCGCCCTCCCCGTCCACCACGCCGCACTCCCCGCGCATCTCCGGCCTCCGCGCCTCCTCCGCCGCCGTCGCCGACCAGGAGAAGTAAGCACCCCACCCGAGCTTCCCCCACCTCCCCGTCTTGTCGTTTGTGGAGTGGACTAAGCTGGACTAGACTAGAGGGTGTGTGCTGTGTGTTGTACGCGGGCTTGGAGTGGCCGCCGTCGCTGACTTTGGGCGAGGTTCGGCTCCGATCGCGCCGGGGAGGCCAGATTCGGGCCTTGCCAGCGCCGATTCGGTGTTGTTTTGGGGTGTCACCAAGGTACTGCGGGCTTGAATCTGATTTAACCCGGTGAGGTTTAGGGCTTTTTGGGATCGGATCTGATTCCCCGCGGCGAGATCTCCCCTTTGTGGTAACCATTGCGTCTTGTCGTCTCTTCACCGGATTTTCGCTGAATCAAACGGGCCAGCCGCTCACTTCGGCCGGTATTCACTTTGCTCGCTGATCGCCTTGTGATTCTGTACCAGCGGGGATTTGCTGGTTATTTACCAAATTGCGTGAGGGGGAGAAAGCTGACTTGGCTGTGCTATACGATAAGAGTGACAGACGATGACTAATAATGGTTCTTTGTCTTTCTACCAGGTACCTTGCGGAGCTGCTCGCGGAGCGCCACAAGCTCAACCCGTTCGTCCCAGTGCTCCCCCATAGCATACGGCTGCTGAATCAAGGTGAGCTCTCAGTTAATCATGCCATTTGTGTTATGATATAATATCTGCTTGCTGGTCCAATTGCTGCTTCTTCCACACGATTCGGAATATTCTGTTGTGATGGCGAGGATATTTGACTTTCCTTGCTTGTGTGCCTCTGATTCGTTGCTTATGGTGGATACCCTTTTTCCTACACAAAGGAAGCTGTTTTCACCTGCAGCTGAGCTAGATTTGCCACAAACTCGGTCATTCTTGTTGTGTGCATTTACTTTGTACTCCCTCCGTTCCAAATTACTCGTCACAGAAATGGATGTATCTAGAACTAAAATACATCTAGATACATCCATATCCGTGACAAGTAATTCGGGACGGAGGGAGTACATAGTGTGGTGGGATATGCTTTTATTCTACCGTGTTGTTGCTTCTGCTTGTTTTATAAAATGAGTAACAATCGTTTCCATGACTGCTCTTTAGGTTGTTTTCATTTGCATCCGAGAATGATTTACCACAAATGTATCATTCTTGGTGTGTGCATTTACTTTTTAGATATTGTCGAGGGGGGTATGCTTTTATTTTACCTTGCTGCTGCTTCTTTCATGATTGCTGTTTAGCTAACCACTACACTGGTGCG